TCACCCCATAAACGGTTCACATCCTCTTAGATTTAGGGGCGTCTTGGCTCCAACGACCAAGGTGAAAAGTACACCTAAGTTCAGATTAACAATCGGCCCGGGCAAAGGGCTATGTTGGACGCCAAAGGGCGAGTACGTTGCAATAAATCCTGCTGGATAGTCCCGTAACGATGTTAAGGGCGACTAGTGAACTACTGAGACCTTGTAGTCTGTGTTATCTGTCGATTTTCAAAACCAAGTCTGAAAAACAAAGCGTGATACGCATACATATTATGCGTATCACTTCGGTACGTGTAAACTTATTTAATAATAATAATAACACTGGACAATTCACACCGCGCTATCTCTATAGTACCAAGGTAAGCAGATGTTGCGTTATGGCTACAAGTTAAATATATTTTTTTGTAAATACATTCATAGGAAGCACCCAGACAAACAAATATACACACAAATACAAATGTTTGTACTGTTCGAGAAATAGAATCCGCCATCATCGAAAGTAAGGCGATGTGCTAAACCGCTAGACCACCGAGGCCGTCAAAAAAATTGGAAATTTAGTTTTTTTATCGAAAATCTTAATGCGAAAATTACTTGTTAAAAATTATAGATTAAAAGTAATTATGATTAAAATTACGAATTCATAGTGTTACAATATTAGCAATAGATTCCTTAAAATAAGCTTATAACATATTGTATGTACGCGATATTCTGCTTTCTTCACATATGAGAATTTTTGTGTCTGTGTATATCATTACTTTATTTTGTTGGGTTATTTCCGCTAATACAGAACATAATTAATGCTTCGCTCATACTGTCTCCAAAGTCGGTCTGTACTTACTTTTACACACTGTCTATACTATTGTTATTACTACTATTATGCCTTATTGATGAATAAAGTACAAAAGGAGTAATAAATGAATTAGTGTATCTACATATATTGCGTAATTTGAAGACCGCAATTTGAATGGCCACAAATCCCATCTCTTCTAGCGTTTTCAGTTAGGTCCGAGGCAATGTACCGGTCACTATAAATCGGCCAATGAGAAGTAGTGATTTAATCGGAAACCCCAGGGTCCCTCAGGAAGCCCATTAAATCGTATGGTCAGAGGATAATTAATTCGGCGGTAACGTTCCAAGTGAGATTAATGGCGGTCTTGGAAATCGAGAGCTCTTTTCAATGGTCACTGTAACATGTTCATTGTTTAGTCCCGTAATTGATGGATATTGCTTGTAATTTGAATTTCGTGGTGAAAAACACTTGGATAAACACATTATGCAACGAACTAGTTCATGCCTGTGACTTCGTCCGCATGACCAAAATAATATAGCTCTATCTAATTAAGCATACGGTCTATTCGATGGTAAATGGATACCGTAGCCTGAAATATCAGGGTGGACATATGCGCGTTGTCCACCTTTAGGAAATCTTAATGTACTCTTCTTGGAATAAGCCATACTGAGGTCTCTAAAGCGATGGATTAGTCTAACAGCAAATACTAATCTCATTGCTGTCTGAACTGAATACAATAAAAAAAATTGTAGTTTTAAAAATTATGTCTCGTTCCTTGACGCTATATAATAATGAATGACTGAAATTGAAATTGAGGGCCTCTAGAAAGAATTTGCTACAGCCCCTGCGTTGCCATAACTAAGTCTTTATAAAAAACGCTTACCACGGTCTACGTACGCCAGAAACATCAGAAAAATAGAAGCAAAAAGTAGTATTTAAAAAAAAAGATTACAATAACTTCCCCGACGCCAGACTTCAACAAAAACTAACTTAAAATCATGAAAACAAAGTAGTTTATAAAAATTACACCCTCTCTTCCAATGCTGGGCAGTAACAGAAACTAACTTCAAATCATACTGCAATAGAAATTTAGAATCACTTGAATGAATTTGCATCCGGACCCGAGCCTCTAGAGAAAACCTCGGCCGGTAGTTTCCACAATCAGAGTGTGCCTGGGAGGAAACTGATCTGAAATCGCACTGTCCCTAACCACTTAGGTTCAAAAATGTTCTCAAATGTACTATGTGAAATTAGGTTAAAACATTTTTATTTAGGCATGAGATATAAACTCATAAGTTCGAATGGCAAACAATATGACGGTCTGCCTGATGGTGAGCGGTAACCGTCATCAATATATACATAATGTACATGAACAGCGTTAAACAATGGATATCACGTTATCATGTGACAGTCGAGATACCACATAGCTTATTATAATATTTATTTTTTCTGCAAAAACATTATTATTTATTTATTATAGAAAAAAGTTCATAGTGCTGATAATATTATCTGATTGTACAACGAATGAGTAGTTTCTGTGTTGATTATCGTATGCCTATTCCTTATTAATCTGTTTTTATTCTTAAACAACATTTAGTATGTTTACTTAAAAGAGCAACTTGCAAGTTTCTTGCTCAGTATTCTTGCGATAAGTCTGCGTTTCGACTGAACGCTAGAATATAAAAAAATATGAAAATTCAAGTGTTTATATTAAGTTATTTTAATAAAATTATTTCTCTTTCTACTTCACATATGCGTTGCCATTCAGGGTTACGATATTATGCCTCTTAAGCTGTAGTTTCACTACCTGATGCATTCTACAATTAAAACAGGTTACAAAGCAAGTTGCTTGGCTGAAATAGGTGAGACTGAGACACTTTGCAGTCTACCACTGGTAATCACATTCGCTTTTATATTACAACCAGCTGACCTGCGAACTTCAAATAACCTTCCAGTCAAGCACACTTTCGCCACTAAAATATTTACAATAACACTATCGATACAATCATCAGGACTAATCGATTTAAAACTGACAGTTGTCATTTGATCCCAGCATTGATTTATTTAATAGAGACGTTTCCTAAATCCTGCTTATGAAGTGTGAAGATAATCTATACATTGTGTGTCTGTTTGTAATATTGAAATAACCGTTTTTTACTACATGCATATGATTATAAATACAGTCCATACACCAAAATAACATGTTTTACAATGTTTGTCTGTCTATCTGTTTGTTCCTGCTAATTTCTGAAATGGCTGGACCGATTTTGACGGTACTTTTTTTGGCAGGTAGCTGATTAAATAGGGAGTAACTTAGGCTACTTTTATTTTAGAAAAATAAAGTTAAATTCCACATGGATGAAGTCGCGGGAACAGCTAGTAATTCTCTGACACTTCAAACAGCAGCATCTAGGCCCAGGTTAACCAGAGCTTGTGTTATGGGTACTAGACAACTGATATAAATACTATATGTATATAAATGTATATATATATATAAAACACAGACCAATACAATCATACTCATGAAAATAAAAACTTGCACCATGTCAGGAATCAAATCTGCGACCAAGTATTTAAATATTATAAGTACAGCAAACTTACCTCTTTTAGTATATAATTAAGGTATTAAACCCAGCTTCATAATAAGTCACTAATGCTTACCTGCAAAATGGAAAAGATACACAATTTAGAATTTTAGATTATTAACAAATAATGGAACTAGTTCCCTTGCCCCATCCATCATCCCTCTGGGTCTCATTGCTAACCTTACCATACAGTATTGTTAGCTATTTCAGTCGAGAAGAACAGTTAAACAATTTATATAACAAATGAGATTTTTTTAAAATAACTTGAAAGTCAAACTAGCTCCAGTCCTCCAGCGTGCGCCCCACATTATATACTCCTGACATACAATTACAACATATTTTATTATTTGTCTGTTCATACACATATATGCAGATTTTAGTGCTATTTTTTTATTAAAAGTTTCGGGCTAATGTCAGGTGCTGCAACCTGCATAGACCTATTGTGCACATCCATTTTCAAAATTCAGAATCTTAGTTCTAAGTGAGAGAACAGGTAATGGTAAGTGGTAATCATGGCCCATATATGTATATGGACAACATTAGATGTGGGTACTTATGTTTTTTTAGTGGATGATAATGGAATAATGCACCCGCCTGCGCTAACGGTTTACGCTGGCAGGGCACCAGTGGAGGATGATATGATGAACATGAAGTTAGGTCAGTTAGCCCATCGTGATAAGTTCACTGGGAAATTATCACGATGGTTTCCAGGGGGAACAGCGTGGAGGTCAACCTGACATGGTACATTGTTAGCAATGGGATCATCAGTCCACATTACTACCAATCCTCTTCCCACCTATGTTTTACCTAATCCACACAAACAACTTTGTTAATTGTATACTACAACAATGTCAACATTGGTTGAAATATAGGCTACTAGACAGATTAAAGAATAAAAGATTTATATAATTATTTCTTCATGTAGATAAGATTTGCTTTTGTTGCTTTACTTTGTTTACTCAGAATCTTACTTAATTTAATAATATAAATGCAAGTTTGAAAGGATGGATGGATGTTTGTAAATCTTACATACAAAAACTATGGAATGGATTTTGATTAAACTTTACAGTATAGAACTTATATCTTAGAGTAACACATTGGCTATAATTTAAAAAGATGTTATGTAAATTAGGTGTAATATATATAGAATATAAAGGGCAAGTAAATGTGATGCAAATGAAGGTGCAAGCTAATATTTTATATGGTACACCTTATTCAGAGCATTTTGTTGGAAACATTACTGTCATAGGAGAATTTCAATGAAGCTAAGCGGACATATATGATATCCATTAATAAATGTTTAACGGCCGGAGCTGACCATTTAATTGTACCGGTAGAAAATGTGGGTGAATGCAATGTGACTTATATGATTTTAGTCTGAGGGTACAATTAGGTATTTGAAAATATCTATGAATTAAAACGCAAACTCATATGTAAACTAACCATTAACCATTACTACTAATAATATTCACTACTTGTTAAAGAATTTAAACGATATGTTGTTCTTTAATAGGATCACAATAATGTATGTGAATGTCAACATAACCTCAAATACATAAGTAACAAAACATTGCCGGCATTTTTATAAACGAATGATTCACACAGTAAGATATTAATAATATTACCTGATACTGTGTTTCGTCGCCACGTTCCTCCAGTTGTTTCAAATTCAAACACAATATACAGTTTTCAGTAGCACTCCAAACATATAACACATCGTCCCTCAATAGCAACAAATTGCACAGTTTTCCACTAGGAATTTCTTTGAGACTGTCTTTTATGTCACGAAATATTGCATGGTTTGCCAATTTAGTTTCATATAAACGGGAATCCATTTTCAAATTTACTTTGTGAATTAAATTCCTATTTTGAAGTGTTTTGTATATTTACGTTTGACATTTGACCGTTGTAGACATTCTGACAGAACAAAGACGCCAATGTTACTTGGTTACGGATTAAAATGGAACTAAAAAGTCATTTCTTTCTATTCCTTTACGATAAGGTTGATTTTACTTTGGCACGTGGAATGATAGCGCCATTGAAGTATCATTTTAAATTAGTATCATATGAATTGCGTTTAGATAATGCACTAAGCTGCTTTAGGTAACTATTTTATATAATATTTAGTAAAAAAACCCTATTGGAAAACAGAATGATTATAATCGCATATTTAAAAATAATTAACAAGAAACCATTTCTGACGACAATTTGTAATATATTTTTGTTAAATAAAACTTACTCCCAGTTTTTTTGTTCCATATCTCAAAATATTCATTAATTGTTAATTCTATCAAGGCAAGAAATGTATCGTAAATTATTGTTTATGTACTTATTCGATGTTTTATTTATATTTTATCCAATGCTAACCTAATGAGATATCACTATATATTTCTAGCAGATAATCTCTTAGTAGGTATAAGATTTGTTTTATAGAGAGTGTTTTACGATTATGCTTACCTGGTTTTTTTTTTTCAAAAATAAATCGATTGAATGTTGAAAAATGTGTTTATGACAAAATTCTCCGGTTCATAGCAAAGAATTTATAAACTTTAAATGTGCACTAATTTGAATAGTACTTATTTTGCTTTATATCTGCTAGAAATATATAGTTGTTGTATAACACAACGCAGTTGAATAACACAAAAGGTAATAAACGAAAGAAGTAATTTTGTTACAACTTTACGGTAAATTATTGAAACGATTTGAATCCATATTCAAATAGTCAATCCAGTTATGTATTGGCCCTGGTGGTCTTGCGGTTTAGCACACCAGTTTACTCCCCATGGTGGCGGGTTCGATTCCTCGCCAGGTACAAACATTTGTATCGGTCTGGGTGTTTTCTATGAATATTATGTACGTTTTTACAAAAAAAAAAAACTATTCGTTCATTCATAATTTAAGCGCTACGCTCTTGTCGGTGGCGCTCTGGCCACTTTCTACAATCTTCCATCATGCTTTTTTAATGTTGATACGACACGACTCCAATTTTGTCTTTAATTTGCTTGATGTAGATGTGCCTTTGTCTTTCCCTTCCCCCTTACCTTCTGCTTTTTCCTCAATAATAATTTCCATAAATTCATCGTGCCGCATCAAGTGCCTAATATGTTCCTTCGTCTATTAAAAAAAATATCTAATTAGTCTAGTAGACATATCACAAGCTCTGCTTTTCTTGGGACTAGATGGCGTTATGTGAAAAGTCCAAAGGTTATTATTTAGATATATTTGAAAATTTGAATATGGAACAATCAATCCAGATATATAATATTCTCTTATCTGTGAGCCAATATTAAAAATGTAGTGATTAATTACCTAGTTACTCAGTGTAATGTCGACAGTGAATTACTCTGTAAATTACAGTAGATACATAAATAATGTACTAATGTTTGGATGTTTAAAATTTCACAGAAACCCCTTAAATTGAATAACAAAACGCTTATCTAATAAACAAGCAATCGGCGGAGTACAATTTGATGAAAATATAACGCTACCAAACCCATATAGGAAGGTGGGGGAATGGATTGCTCTCGCAGTTGTACCAGCTGTATTTCACTTTGATTCGGAATGGTATCACGTAATTTCATCTCGCTGTGTACGGGCCGTGCTTTCTTATAAATAAACCAAGATATAGGCAACAATAAATTTCGTTTTCAGAGATTTTGTACGTGTGCCTCGTTGTAATTTAATTCTTGTTTATTTTAAAGCCTCGCAGATTACTGTTGGCAGTGAATGAGTGCGAGGTAGGTCCGGGATAATGTTTCTCTATATGATACCTGAATGACGAGCGTGCGTGGCAATAGTTCATGCACGGATTTTAATTTAATGTTAAACATAGACACCTACAAAAGAACACAATGAAAATAAACTGGCCTTTTTTTAAAAAAAAAACAAAGAAATTCAGGTGTGTTTCTTGCCAGCTCTTCTATATTGAATCTGGATGGTAGGGAAATTAAATTATAAAAAAGAAAAATTACGCTCATAAGCCGCTAAAATGTCCTACATGAATGAATGATTATTGATTTTGGTTTTGATCATGTAATGCTGAAATTAAAAAAATAATAATGCAGGGTTCGAAGACCTGACAAATTGGACATCAGAAATTACAATGTATAAGAGGTAGTACGAACTTCAACGAGTAGGTATATTGCAATAGATAAAAGATGGTGAAATCCTTACTAATAAATGAAATTGTAGTGTCCGTTTGTAATTTCAAATTAAAAGCTTTTCACTAATGTGCATGCATTATAATATGAAAGTACCTAGATACGTTATAATAAAAAAAAAACAACTAATTATTGTTGCTAATATTTTAAACGGCTGAATGGATTTTGACGGGACTTTTACTAACAGATAGTTAATGTTATAATTAAATATTTTTTTCTAAAATAAAAGTAAATAAAATAAAAGGTAAACGCACGGGTACGATGGTGCGGCTAACAGTGGGCCCCGGCACCTTACTTTGTTGCGGGTTCGATTCCTTGCACGGTAAGTAACATTTGTATTCATGAGTATGATTGTTTGATGAGATGTATAATATAGAAAAAATATCTATGTATATATATATCAGTTGTCTAGTACTAATAACACAAGCTCTGCTTAGATTAGAACTAGATGACGTTATGTGAATCATCATGGGTACTAGACCCATAACATAATCTCTGCTTAGCTTGGGACTAGATAACGCTGTGTGAGTCGTCCTGAGATAATTTTTTTTTAAGTTTTGCTACAACCAAAGACACAACACACTTGCGCTAGACTCACGCAACTGTCTTGTGCCTTTGTTTTTTTTCTTCACAGATATCAAGTAACGGAACTTGACAAAGATTGTTACAAAGCAACAAAGATCAATGTCAAAGCATCGCAGCCTGAATAAAATATAAGGCGATGCGAACATACGGCTCTCGGTGCTGGGTGTAATACTATTGATAAATTTACCAGCGTCTCTCACATGATACACGCTGTGTAAATCGTCCTGAGATAGTACATATCTGTATATATAAAAATTACGTGTCACGTTGTTTGTCCGCGATGACCTAAACTTCTGAACAGATTGCAAATTTGATTTGCACATTGTGTGCAATTTGATCCAACTTGTATAAATTGAGATGTAAACTATCCTATCATTCAAGTAAAGATAGCATAGCTTAAATCTCAATTTATAGTCGCAATATTATTTTTTTCAAGTTTGCTAGTTATTATATTTTTTTTAAGTTATTATATGAGCATAGCGCAAGTGCGTTGCATCTTTATTTTTATTTCACAGATATCCCGTATCGGACCTTGTGTAAAATTGTTACGAAGCAATAAAAACTAATAGATATTATGACGCTGTGTGAAACGTCCTGAGATCTTTTTTAAGTTTTGACATGAATTTAGCGCGTTGTACCTTTACTTTTTGCACAGATAGGTATCACGTATCGGAACTTGTGTAAGATTGTTACAAAGCAACAAAGATCAATGTCAAAGCATCGCAGCCTGAATAAAATATAAGGCGATGCGAACACACGGCTCTCGGTGCTGGGTGTAATACTATTGATAAATTTACCAGCGTCTCTCACATGATATTACGGAGCGATGGGCCACCCCGCGCCCGATCTATTATTATGCTGGGCAGGTCGCCACGTATGAATTGTGTAGGGCTGGCCATTCATTTTTTTTAAAGATAAAAATATTTTTAATTAAAGAAAGACGAAAGAGATTTAATTAAAGAAAAAGCATGTGCAATAAAGCAATTTAACGACATTGTTCTTCTTCTTCTTCTTCTTAAAGAAATGGACAATTTAATTGATTAATTATAATTTCATTAAATGTTACAAAAAAGATTTGTTTGTTCTATTTAGGATATTTTGTAACAATCTTTACCTAGTATAAAATAAAGTATCCGCGGCTGTCTGTTCATTGCGTATCTTTTAAATTACGCAACGGATTTTAATGCAGTTTTCAGCACTAGATAGAGTGATTCAAGAGGAAGGTTTATATGTATAATACATGCGTGTTATAGTATAGATTAAGACGAGAAATTGAAAGATTTGTAATGCAAAGATCTTTGTATTTCTCGGTTAACGTTACAATAAAATAATGATTAAAACTTTTGAGAACAACTATAGGTAATATAAATAGTATATTTATGTAGCATATATATGAATATGTGGCCCAAATTATTATTTTAATATGGTAACACTGCAACGTTGGGGTTTCAGCGAGCCAGAGACAATATGACGACGATTATAGTTTATATTATCACTAACGATCGCAAACGCATCCGATGTACCATTTTCAAGTAGTTAAAAAACTGGCCTGGAATCTCCGATTTAAATTACACAAGCAAGATCCTTATCTCACTAAAAGGCGTAAACAATAGGTTTGAAAATATATTGTAATATTTATATGTACAGTTTACAAATGAATATGTCAAGATATTAATTTGTAAACTGTACTGGTCACGATATTTATTAGTTAATAAATAATAGATACTTTAGAGAACAACTATAGGTAAAAATAGTAGGTTTGAAAATATATTATAATATTTATATGAACTGTATAGACCAAATAAATGTATTTTTCTTTCTACTTTTTATAAGCAATCCCTTACACATAATTTTATTATACACTTTTCATTTTACATATTGTTTTTTCAGTCCACATATAAAGTTTCGTCAGCAACATATGTAGCTAAAAAGCGTATGACATTTTTGTCAAGACTATTAATTTTAAAATTACCAAATGCTGTTGTATTGTGCGAAATATGTTTTTAAGTGTGTATTATGGATTTTAAATAGTTTTTCTTGTTGATATTTTTCTCAATGGTGACAGCCCTGCGGGCAGCAGCCCGCCGGGACGGCACCGATGACTTGTCATTAATAACGACAGTGGAAATGTATCAAAAGGTGACGCGTGTCCCTGCGT